ATAGAATCATAGAATCAAAGAGTTGGAAGAGACCTCATGGGCCATCCAGTCCAACTCCATTCTGCCAAGAAGAAAGTATATTGCATTCAAAGCACCCCTGACAGATGGCCATCCAGCCTCTGTTTAAAAGCTTCCAAAGAAGGAGCCTCCACTACACTCCGGAGCAGAGAGTTCCACTGCTGAATGGCTCTCACAGTCAGGAAGTTCTTCCTCATGTCCAGATGGAATCTCCTCTCTTGTAGTTTGAAGCCATTGTTCCATGTCCTAGTCTCCAGGGAAGCAGAAAACAAGCTTGCTCCCTCCTCCCTGTGGCTTCCTCTCACATTTATATGTGGCCCTCATCATATCTCCTCTCAGCCTTCTCTTCTTCAGGCTAAACATGCCCAGCTCCTTAAGCCGCTCCTCATAGGGCTTGTTCTCCAGACCCTTGATCATTTGAGTCGCCCTCCTCTGGACACATTCCAGCTTGTCAATATCTCTCTTGAATTGTGGTGCCCAGAATTGGACACAATATTCCAGGTGTGGTCTAACCAGAGCAGAATAGAGCATGGGGAGCATGACTTCCCTAGATCTAGACACTATGCTCCTATTGATGCAGGCCAAAATCCCATTGGCTTTTTTGCTGCCACATCACATTGTTGGCTCATGTTTAACTTGTTGTTCATGAGGACTCCAAGATCTTTTTCACACGTACTGCTCTCGAGCCAGGCATTGTCCCCAATTCTGTATCTTTGCATATTTTTTTTGCCTAAGTGGAGTATCTTGCATTTGTCCCTGATGAACTTCATTTTGTTAGTTTTGGCCCATCTCTCTAATCTGCCAAGATCGTTTTGAATCCAGCTTCAGAGAGCTTCTGTTCAACCATTTCAAAGCTTCCGGCTTGGGCAGTGATGGCGCAATCGTCAGCAGAGATGAAACTCTCTCTCCCCTCCTGTCAATGCACAGAGATGGTCCTAGTGCAGTGCAGCTATAGGAAAGACATGTGCTATATTTTATGTATTCTAATAGTGCTGCGTTTTGTCGCTTGGTTTTAACCCTGTTGTATTCAGACAAGATTTAATTCTTTTTGCAAAAACAAACGCCTCCATCTCATTAGTATGAAAATTGGCCTTCATCTTGAATAAATAGTAAAATTATATATATTCCAAATAATTGTTTTAAGACAGATGTATCTGTTAGGATGCCCTTCATGATGAAGAATTCCAAGTTTTGTAGGAATGGGCTCTCCATGGGGCCCTTGGTGAGTTTGGGGAAGGCGCATCAATGCAACCGGATCATTTGTGATCTGTTCCTTCATTACAGAGAGAGACGAGAGGCAGCCATGCTTGAAATGTCTTTATTTGGTCAGCTTCCATCCCAGCACAGCGGCTTCCACCCCAAAAAGGAGCCCCAGACGGTGAGGAGGTCATGGGAGGATCTTCAGAGGAAGATCTCCAGCCCATTCACCCCCATTTCAGCAGAGTCCATCTTCCTGGGAGTTGCCTTGACCCATCTTCTGGAGCAAAACCTGCTCTTGGCCCTTGGAAGGGAGGCTCTGTTGCTCAGACGTCCTTCTGTTGGAGAGAAAACAGGGAAATAGCTATGGATCTCAGCTTTGTTTCGAACACACTTGCAATCTATCTCCCACCATCAGACCTTGTAGCATTGAGTTCCACAGTTTAATCCTATGTGAAACATCTAGAAGCACAGTTTTAGGGCTTCCTATGTAGATGATGCAGAAACACTGAGGGTCCTATTTCTTTGGTGTTGCTCTACCTTCACAGCAAGCCTGATTTCTCCTTGGAAGTCATGCCATAAAGGTCAACATGGGACATATAGGCTTATATAGAAACGTGCAAGGTTCGGAGGAGACCATTTGTCCAAAACGTTTAGCTACGAACCAACCAAAGGCTGTTCATATAATAATTAGGACCAGCCTATTGAGCAAGCCTGATTGTATCCTAGGGAATTCCAGACGTTAAACAATCAGGGCCAGCTAACACCTCCCAACAGAGGATCCCCCCCCAGGCAGTAAGCAGCCAGGCTTTGAATATGCAAGGCCATTCAATACTAATCAAGGTGGCCACACCTTGAAAACTGCTAGGCCATTCAATGCTAATCAAGGGGACCAATGGAAACATTCACACCTGCCTCCAACAGACAAGAGTTCTTTCTCCCACCCACCTCACAACAAAGGATTCCCCCAGACAGGAAGCAGCTAGGCTGTGAAGCTGCTAGGCCATTCAATGCTAATCAAGGTGACCAACTGAAACATTCACACCCACCTACAACAGACAAGAGTTTTTTCTCCCACCCACCTCCCAACAAAGGATTCCCCTAGGTAGGAAGCAGTCAGGCTTTGAAGCTGCAAGGCCATTCAATGCTAATCAAGATGGCCACACCTTGAAAACTGCTAGGCCATTCAATGCTAATCAAGGTAACCAATTGAAACATTCACACCTACCTCCAACAGACAAGAGTTTTCTCCCACCCACCTCCCAACAAAGGATTCCCCCAGGCAGGAAGCAGCTAGGCTGTGAAGCTGCAAGGCCATTCAATGCTAATCAAGGTGGCCGCACATTGAAAAATGCTAGGCCATTCAATGCTAATCAAGGGGACCAATGGAAACATTCACACCTGCCTCCAACAGACAAGAGTTCTTTCTCCCACCCACCTCCCAACAAAGGATTCCCCCAGGCAGGAAGCAGCTAGGCTGTGAAGCTGCTAGGCCATTCAATGCTAATCAAGGTGGCCACACTAGCCTCAAACAGACAAGAGTTCTTTCTCCTACCCTGGACATCATTCCACAGATATATAAACCCCACTTGCCTAGTTTTCAACAGACCTCACAACCTTTGGGGATGCCTGCCATAGATGTGGGCAAAACGTCAGGAGAGAAGGTTTCAATATCCTCCTTCTGCACCTAGCACAGCAATCTCATCACTTTCAGGCTGTTGCTCTGAGAAAAGCAGTGAAAGGTCTTTCCCAGGAATGTGGCCTTCTGAACTTAACTTCGGCCTAGGCAAACCAGCATCCATAGGCCCATCAAGAGGAACGTCATCCCCGTTCCCATTATGCACATCAACATGACCATCATTCCCAACATCAGACACAATCACAGGCTGAACAGGCTGACATACAACAGGTATATGTTGATCACTGGAGCACTGGAGGACCTGGAGGACCCATCAGAGTAGTTTAAATGGGATGTAACTGAGCCCTCCCAGAAGATGCCCATCCACCACCCTCCAAAGAGGCATGTTCCCTTCAATATGGAGGGTAACCCAAAATAGTATGTTGCCTTCAATATGGATGGAGGGCCACCCAAAGGTCATTTAGTCCAGCCACTTGCCAAGCAGGGACACACAATGAAAGCCCTCCCAGAAGA